AGTGCAGTGGCGTGATCTTAGCTTACTGCAAGTTCCACCTCCTGGGTTCATGCCATTCTCCTGCCTCAGCCTCCCGAGTAGCTGGAACTACAGGCACCCGCCACCACGCCTGGCTAATTTTTTTTGTATTTTTAGTAGAGACAGGGTTTCACTGTGTTAACCAGTGAACTGACCTCATGATCCGCCTGCCTTGGCCTCCCAAAGTGCTGGGGTTACAGGTGTGAGCCACTGCGCCCAGCCTCTCCCTTCACTTCCTGTACCAGTTTTTGGATTGCCTTGCATTGGGCTTTGCCTTTCTCTGGTCTACCCCTGAGTAGCTTAATGACTAACCTCCTGAATTCTTTTTCAGGTAAATCAGGGATTTCTTCTTGGTTTGGATCCATTGCTGGTGAACTAGTGTGTATTTTTGGGGGTGCTGAAGAACCTTGTTTTGTCATATTACCAGGGTTGGTTTTCTGGTTCCTTCTCATTTAGGTAGGCTCTGTCAGAGGGAAGGTCTAGGGCTAAAGGCTGTTGTTCAGATTCTTCTGTCCCACAGGGTGTTCCCTTGATGTAGTACTCTCCCCCTTTTCTTATGGATGTGGCTTCCTGTGAGCCAAACTGCAGTGATTACTGTCTCTCTTCTGGGTCTAACCACCCAGAGTCTACCTGGCTCCGGGCTGGTACCGGGGACTGTCTGCAGAGTCCTGTGATGTGAACCATCTATGGGTCTCTCAGCCATAGATACCAGTGCCTGTTCTGGTGGAGGCAGTCAAGGGTGCAACGGACTCTGTGAGGGTCCTTAGCTTTGGTGGTTTAATGCTCTATTTTTGTGCTGGTTGGCCTCCTGCTTGGAGGTGGTGCTTTCCAGAAAACATCAGCTGTGGTAGTGTGGAGAGGGAGCAGCAGTGGGCAGGGCCTTAGAAATCCTAAGATTATAGGATGTCTTCCACTTTGTCTTCCACTACCAGGGTGGGTAGGGAAGGACCATCAGGTGGGGGCAGGGCTAGGTATGCATGAGCTCAGATTCTCCTTAGGCGGGTCTTGCTGCAGTTGCTGTGGGGGATGGGGGTGAGATTCCCAGGTCACTGGAGTTGTGTACCTAGGAGGATTATGGCTGCCTTTGATGAGTCATGCAGGTTGCCAGGGAAGTTGGGGAAATACAGCAGTCACAGGCCTCACCCAGCTCCCACGCAAACTGAAGGGCCAGTCTCACTTCCACCATGACCCCCTCCAACAGCCCCAAGTCTGTTTCCAGTCGGAGAGTGAGAGGGGCTTGAGAACTTGCCCGAGGCTATTTGCCTTCCAGAGTATTTAGGGTGTCTCCTGGGTCCTGCAGAAGCAACCCACTTCCTTCAGAGGGACTGTGGGTCCTCTCGGGATTGCTGTTTTGTTCTTGTAGTCGATCTGGAGCTCCATAGTCCTCCCTGCAGGACCCACCAGCACAACAAAGAGCAGCCTGCCAACCATCTTAATATTTGTGCGGATATCTCAGCCTCCTTTTAATGCTCTTTTGGAAAACAGACACATTTGTGAATCTGATAAAGGATGTGGACCTTGTACTTGAAAACCCATATACTTTAACACACAACTTCGAGACATTCATACATCTATTAGAATCCATATATAGAACATCCTCAGAGGTCCATAGACCCAAAGTTTCCTTCTAGACCTCTGGTCTAGAAGGAAAAAAAAAGTTAACATTTACTGAGTATCTATTATATGCCAGACACTATTCCAGGTGTTAAATAGATTTTTCTCAATTAATCATGACAACCCCATGGAGTAGGTACACTCTTCTCTATTTTACTGACAAGAAAACAGTAGCAGAGAATGTCACTTGCTCCATCCAGGTAAACAGCCAGTAAATGACAGCACCAGGGAGCCCCTCCTCTAAGCTACTAAGTCACAGCTGTGAAATCAAAGACATGTAAGCAATTAAAAAAAAAATTGTATATGGTTATACACACCATAATCATAGCTTCTTTTTTGGGGGGTGGGGAAGCATGTGGATAATCTGCCTCTCCAGAGATCTGAGGAAGTAGAGATAATGTGGCACTGGTTGGTGGGGAGACACTTGGCTAAGTATCTCAGGCCCACCACTAATATTCATGGCACAACACAAAACAAAAGCTAGTCAGGCCCACCACTTGGCTTCCCAAGAATAGATCTGTGGCAGTGACAGTAGTCCTTGAACTTGAGTTCTTGACGGTGTAACTGAGATTAGTGCTGGGGTCCAAAATTTAAATTATCTCTAGGGGTTGGAATGTAATGCAATTGTGACACCAAGTTGGAATAAGGCATTTGGGCGGCGGGGGGCATGGTCAACTGGAGAGTACACGTCCTGTCTCAAGACATTCACATTTAAGAAAAACAACCCCCATGAGGGCCAAACAAAAGACATATTCAGACCAGGTGCAGTGGCCTGTAATCCCAGGACTTTGGGAGCCCCAGGCAGGCAGATCCCTTGAGCTCAGGAGTTTGAGACCAGCCTGGGCAACATTGTGAAACCCTGTCTCTACTAAAAATACAAAACCTAGCCAAGCGTGGTGGCGCAGGCCTGTAATCCCAGCTACTTAAGAGGCTGAGGCACGTGAATCACTTCAACTGGGGAGACAGAGGTTGCAGTGAGCTGAAATTGTACCACTGCACTCCAGCCTGGGCAACAGAGCAAGACTCTGTCTCCAAAAAAAGATACACACACGCACACGCACGCGCACACACACACACACACACACACACACACACAAAAGACATATTCAGACATATTCAGCCCAGTGGACCATCAGTTTGTGACCTGCGAATAGACCGTTCCCTTCCCACTCCAGGTTTTTCCCACGTCAAGAGTCAGGAATGCAGGGAATGCAGTCTGTGGGAAGGGGACACAAGCTGACCCACGTGACAATCAACGTTGTGATTTCCATTCCGTTAGAGCTATGCTTTTTACATGCTAACCAACCCAGCAGTAGGTCACTAGCAGAAAGGTCCAGACACCAGAGATGAAGAAACATCAGGAAGTAAATGATAGTACACAGGACGTACCTCATACATAGAGCGCATTCAAGGTCAGACGCGTCGAAAGATGCAAGTGGTAAACTGAGAGCAGGTTTGTCCCCCTGATCAGTGGGAGGATCTGTGATTTAGAAAGCAAGAAGTCAGCAGTGGAGCAACCCCGGTTTCATAGATAGTACTTCTGAGGCAAAAGAATCCAATGCATTTTTCAGTTTGCCACTCTCACCACCACCTCCCAGAGAGTTGATTTAGTGGACACCTGAGCCATTGAGAGTGGGACACTCAGAAGTAGGTTCTCAGAGGTTTCCAGCAGCCCCAACAGAAAGAGAAATGCAAGTCAAAGAATGTCCAGGAGCCCTGGGGACTTCATTCAAATGCAACAGGCACCTCTCTCAACAGCAGAAGCTACAGCAACTCAATGGATTGAGCCAGGCCTTCAAAGCTAAAACTGAATCTTGGCACTGCCAAACTCTCGTGGAAAGATAGCAAGCCACAGCTGCAGCTTCTCACATGCCTACCTATGGGAACACAGCTGGGAATGAGCAGGGTGAGGCCTGACCTCACTTTCCTCATCCTGCATTCCTAGAATGGGGATGAGGGTAGCGAGAGGTTGCCCTAGAAGGAAGTGGCATCCCCATGGGTATGGGATGCCATTAGTTGATACTGTGCTTGACCTAATGCCTTGGCGTTCCATTATATTAATAATTAGTATCAAACACTTACTACAGTGTGCTACGCACAGTGCATGCTCTCACAGAAGCCTCATAGGAATCTTTGAGGCCACACAGCTCGTAAATGCCAAAGCTGGGTCACACACCCAGAGACTAAGGAGCCCCCGGACAGAGGTAAGTAACTTGTATATACTGGTGAGCCCAGGGATCTCCTCCAAGCTACCTTCTCCCTGGGTATAGCTAGTACCTTGCTTGGAGGCTTTATTAGGCATCCCTGTGTCTTCTTGGGATTCAATTTGGCAATGTTTCCTTTTCTTTTCCTGGCATTTTCCTGTCTTGCTGGAAGCAGCTTTTGGAGAGGTAGCATCCCACTTCTCCTCCTCTTCTTCCTGGTCTTTCATGTGGTGCTGCTGACCATCCCCCTTCACTTTAGCTGGATCCATCAGACTGCTGCCATCTCCCCTGGCTGCTGCTTCCTCCTGACTAGAACAATGTGGGAGCTCCAGATTGTCCTGGATGAAGAAAGAGCCACATATCAGAATCTTCTTAGGACCAATATTGTCCTCTGATATTCTTACCCAGAGGGACAAAGGGAAACTATAGAGTCCTGATCCCCACCCCAATTGCAGAGTGAACACAGAGCTCAGCTGGGGGGCCGTCATAAGGTATTATTTCCTACTTCTTGTTCACACAGCATCTGCAACCAAGGTATGCCCAGCTTGGGTGGAGTTAGGGAACTTCCCTAGGCAAGGACAGGAAGGTATGTAGGAGGAGAGGCTCCTTGGGCAGGTCCAAAAAGGGGAAATGCCAGGGCTAGCACCAGTTCCCCTTCCCATCAAATCCTTCCCCAGTAACCACTTTAGCAAAACCAAGGCAGGCAGTGAGGGCAGATCCTGTCACTCAGTAGTTCCTCTGGCCCTCACTGCCACTCATGGCCATCTGCGATCCCCAAACTCCAGCTCCAAAAGGACTTTTGGTAGGGCTTTGGCACAGGTCTGCTCACAGGCCTGCCAAGTTACCTCATGCTGCAGGGCTGTATGCTACGCTAGTCAAATGAACAAGGTACAAACTATTCCTTTTACTAGATTTGGGGTGAAAAGCATTAAAAAAAAAAAAAAAAGACAAAATCACCTGGCAAAAAAAAAAAACCAATGTCTCTAGGCTTTTAAAGAATATTTTCCCAGGATATGGATATTTGAAAAAGGATTTAGAAATAAGTGCAATAACAACATGTTTATGCAGATTTACATGGAGAACCCCTCTCTAATCTAAACCCATAGTCCACAGGTCAAGATATTCATCTTGTTGTTTCCCTCTAACCCTACCAAAAGAAAACTGGTAGACAGGTGAAAAAGGGGAGCATACAGCTGGGAGAAAACAATGAGGTGAGGAGAAAAATAATGTGGGTTTTCTGTCTCTAACTTGGGGAGTTGGGGTTTTCTCCAGCACAACAGCAGTACTACAACCTTGACTTTCGATGAACCGAAGGCATTGGCCACTCAGGAGTATACTGCTTTGCAAAGCAAAGTTTGGGTGGAAATCCAATCCTTGTTCCCCAGCTAGTTCACACTGGAAAGCCAAGGCTGCTATTTTTCTTCTTTTCAGATGGAGCTGCAATCAGAAGTCACTCCAGGCATTTGGGTTCAGTATTAGCATCCTCAATCATGTAATAGTGATCTTAATGATTGAAATCACTGGGGGTTCTCTGATTTCAGGAGCTCCTCTAAGTTCTGCTGTTTTTTAACAAAAGCGGGGCACACCTGCATTTCAGTCCTTTTTTGAGAGTCCAGGGCTTACACACAGAAGAACATGGGGCATGAATGGAGGGAAAACTGCCCCCTAAAGGTGCCCAGGCATTCAGTGCTAAACTCTCCCTTGGAGTCTGCGCTTCTGATTCTCAGCTTCTGATCACTTACCCTCTGCCGGGAAAGCCAGGGCCTGCAGCCCATCTCTCTTGTGTTCTGTTTTCTGGTTTTCAAAGAAAGGTACAAATACCTGTCCTCCTCCCAGGTCCTTCAACTCAACATTCTTTCCAACATCTCTTTCCTCTTCTCTGTTACAAATATGTATTGGAAGCTTACTTATGTATAAGGCATAGTGCAAGAATATAAAATCACGTCCATTTGAGAATCAAACAGAGTTGTCTTTGCACAGGGTAAGTGCTGGCACTCAAAGGCCAGCAGTTTGAACAGACAAAAGCTCGAAAGGAGGGAGAAAGGAGGGATCCTCAGGCCCTCTTCCCAGACTCCTCCCCAAAGCCTATAAACCCACCCAAATTGTACGGCCCAGGGGCAGTGAGCCAATTCCTTTCTAGTTCTGTCAAATCTCTCTTGGCTGGATCTAACCAAGAACTGAAAAAAAAAAAATGTATCCTAGCACTTTGGAGGGCCAAGGCGGGAGGATCACTTGAGGCCAGGAGTTTGAGACCAGCCTAGGCAAAAATGGTGAAACCCCGTCCCTACCAAAAAAAACAAAACAAAACAAAACAAAACAAACAAACAAAAAAAACCAGCCAGGCATGGTGGCTCATGCCTGTAGTCCCAGCTACTCGGGAGGCTGAGGTGGGAGGATCTCTTGAGGCCAGGAGTCTGAGGCTGCAGTGAGCCATGATCATATGACTGCCCTCCAGCCTGGGTGACAGAAAGACACCCTGTCTCAAAATTTTTTTTCAACGTAATGAATAATTCTGGGACCATGCCTGAAATTCACAACCGCATCTTTAAGAGGTTCTTTGCAAAGAACAGAACCACTAGTGACTCAATTTCTTCTTTCTCAGGAACCAAAATAGGAGAGGGAGGGCTCACTCCCCATGTTTGCCCACAAAACAGCCAAACGAAGTGTCACGAGCGAGCTGGGTGAGTTGAGTTTTACCTGTAACAACCTTGGCAGATTATGGCTGGTAACTTCAGTAGTCATTGACTCTACGTTTTCCTTTAATCTAGGGTGAGGTGCCAACAGCTTCAGGATATCGGGAGAATGTTCCTGAGAATCCCCCGGGACTGATGGTGAAAAGAAACTAAGGAGAAGCTGTGACATAAAACAGAAGACTTCACTACTTAAGTTTCTACAGGTGCCCAGGTGAAGGGGAGAAGGGCAGGGGTGAGGGAGCCAGCTTTTAGGGCAGAATTCCAGGGAGGAAGCCTTGGACCAGTGTCCCCAACACACCACACTGGGGCAGGGGTCCTCGCTTCAGCAGCCATCAGAATCAACTGAGGAACTTATGAAAAATCTGGGTCTCTACTTTCTACTACCATCTCCCCCCAGGTCTGAAGTGTGGCCAAGGAATCTGGATTTTGAGAAGGCACTACAGATGCCTCTGTTGCCTAGCCAAGGTTAAGAGCCACGATGCTGGTGCTAACACTCCACAGAAATATCTGCAGTGGGATTTTAAAACTCATCTAGGAGGAAAGAGACAGAGAGGTGAAGTCAGGAGAGAAACCTCAATTGGAGAACTTGAAGTTCATAATACCTCAGTGAGTAGAAGTCTACAAATGTCTTCTAGGATCCTCACTGTTTCTTTTCTCCATCATCCATTTTGCTTCCTCCTCTCCCCACCATCACCCCTGGATCTTTAATCCCTTCAAAGCTGGGAACCTGAGCAGTTAACCGTTAGGAAAAACAGAACACCAGCTTCCTCCCTCTTCTCCCAGCCTTGCCTCCCCTATTCTGGCCTTTGCCTCCCAGAGGATGTTAGGTTAAGTTAAAGTACTAGGTGCAAGGAGGTTCCAGTCTCTTGCTCTTTTCCCTTGCAATTGGATAAGCTGGGAGGGTAGATGTGCGTTCTAATGTAGCTTGCACCATTCACTGTCCACAATCTTGCCCCAAGTTTCCCCTGTACCGGCAAGGATTGTGTGAGTGTGTGTGTGTGTGTCTCTGTGTGTGTGTGTGTGTGTGTGTGTGTGTGTGTGTGTGTATGTGTGTTTCCATATACTGAAACATGTAACACAAGGAGAGCAGGTGACTTTGCTTCTAAAACCTACTCCAGTGCTTATCACCCAGCAGCTCCTGCAGTATTTGGAGACCCACTAAGGGATGCTCCAGTCCTGTGCTGAGGATACATAGTTAGGGTATTAATTCATCAGTGAAATTTGACAGAGCACCAAACTCCAGTTTGATTCATTCTCTGGCCTCCAGCAGTCTCTTCATGATGTTCCTTCAGATGCCAGCACTTGCCATGAAGCCAAACCCTGCTCAGCCTTCAAAGCTCAGCTCAAGTGCTACCTTCCCTCACTATTCCAGTCCTGTCCTATGCAGTAGAGAGTGCACCATAATATAGCATCTTGAACACCACATTGTTATCCTAGAAATGTGTCACAGATGTAAGCCTTTCTCTCCCGCCAGATGGCCAGCTTCTAGAGGGCACATAACAGACACCCAATAAATACTCATCCTACGGGATGGAATTGAATTAAGACACTTATCCACCCCAGGGCCCAGGGAGAGGCCTCGCATTCAGGCCCAAAGTCCTCAGATTGATCCTTATGTTTCCTTTCAGCTCTGAGAAACCCACTTTCCAGTTATGAGTTGGCAAAGGAGTTAAATGGGGAGGTACTCACAGCACCCTGGGCCATAAATGCCAGCTTTCAGAGGTCCCTCTTCCACAGGAGCCAAGGTTGGCCCTCTGAAGCCCTAATGAGTGACCCAACAGGACCAAGCCAGTTCTGAGGAGGCAGTATCCTTGGAATTCTCCCAAAAAGAGCATAATATTCTTCAATGGCAGCCACACAGCATCACAAGGTACAAGGATGAAAGGGCAGAGGGTGGTGGGAAGGAAAAGGAGAAATCAAAGGAAACAAAGCAGAAATAACAACAGCAGTTCCCTTCTTCATTTTACTACTTGCGATCTCTCTCTATGCCTTCTCAATGGCATTGGAAAACAAAGGTTAGGGTCAATTCTCAGTGAGAATGATCACTCCACATGAATGAAAGTCAACTACACTTCAGCCTCAGCCTTAGAAAGGCCCAAATAGGTCAAGAAGGAGGAAAAAGAATCTGCAGTAAAAACAAACATTAAAAAGAAACACAAGCCTGTGAGTTCAAAGGCAGCTTATTAATGTCAACTCAACCTGCATCATCTCTGTCAAATCTTTAGCCCTAAAACTGGAATGATCTAGTAAATAAACACAACTGAGGAATCTCGACGTTCTTAATCGCTGCCATGGCCTCATCACACTCAGTGGAAATTCGCCTCTAAATTCTTGCCCTCACTTCAGAACTTTGTAACACTCATCATGGGCATACACTCGCTTGCATCATCTGGCATTTATGTTAACAAATGCAAGACTGTAAATTCCTTGAAGACTAAAACTGTGACTTACACCTCTTTGGGTCTCCAGAGCTTCACACAATGCCTTGCCTCAAACCATTAGGCAGCTGTGGAAATGACAACAGTTTGTCTATAAAAGTAGACTGGAGAGACGGGTCAGCCCAACTGATGACACCAAAAACATCTCAGGCCAACTGGGAAATGGACAAACAGGAGTCAAGAAACCATTCCTCCTTGGGTCTAAGACCTGCCTCTGTTGGCCTTTGCACGCTCTGTTCCCAAAGACAAGTTTCTTCTAACTGCCTTTGTTCATCACGGAACTGGAAAGTTCCATTGCTACTATTGACCCAGCATCACCAGTGAGTGCTGAGGCTGTGGCCATGTCCTCATGGGAAGCAGGATGGCAGAGCAGCTAAGATGCCAGGCTTTGGAAGCAGATAGACTTGGGTTTGAATACTTTCCCACCAATCACCAGCTGCATGACCTTGGGAAAGTCAGCAAGCCCGAGCTTCATCTGTCTCATCTATAACCTGAGGATAAATAACCAAACCTAGCCTCAGGAATGTAGCGGGGTTTAAATAATCTACTCTACATAAAACGCCTAGCACAGTGTCTAATGTAGAAGAAATTCTCAACAAATGTTAGCTATTATTATTATCATTATATCATGGACTACACTTAAGATTTGGAGAAGGGTCCACAGCTTGAAGCAATTCTCCCCGAACCATGCTCCTCTCAAGCACACCTTTTTCACATACTCAAACCAATTCAAAGCAACTTCCCAGAAAGGAGATCCTTCGTGAGAGACAGAAAATCCAGGGCCAGTTCCCTTAGTTCATCGATTTTGCTAACCATTCCTTTCTAGAGCCTTCAGAAACCAGTTCTGTCTCTTGCTCAATTTCTTTATCCAATTCTCTGCCAAACCACATTGGGACAGAAACCGTAAGGCTCGGCAGTGAATAGCGGGTGGGGCACAAGGAGAGCAGAGACAACCTCCAACTGTCAGAATCCAACTTACAGGCCAATTACCTAGATACCAGCAGAGTAAACCGTAAAACAATAAACAACAAAGTCCACGAATTGAAGATGCCTGAGCCTTCACTCATGCTCTCGGTATTTCACACCATTTTTCTTTTATAACTACCACATTCTCCTGGGACCCAGGAGTTGGAATGACTGTTTGCATTCCATTGTAATGGTCTCTGACTAGCATTTGTGAGGCAGTGTGTTTTATTTCTAGCAAAGGAGCTGAAGGTTGGAGTTCTGTGTATGGTGATAGGAGAGGTGGGGACCACCAACGTCCCTTCCCAGGGGCTGGTTATCATGTGTGGATGGTGAAAACTGTGATTCAGCCAAAGAAAAGTTATGTAACAGTAGGTAGCCCCACACCCTGGATCTCTCATCAATAGCCAGAATGTCCTCAGTGAGCCTCAATCCCCATGTTAATGTACTTGATTTTGGTTTTTCTCCCACTGACAATCCAGACCCTGAGTCAAAGAAGCAAGAACATTCCTCACAGCCTCCTACAAAAATGTAGGAACTGCCCAATCTGATCATACACACCAGAAGGACGGTGTTTCTGGGCAATCAATTAGCACTCCCTTCTCCCTTTTGTCCCCTTAACCCAGGGAACCACCCACTCAGGACCCCAAATGCCAGGGAGGACAGCACCCTCACTCCCCTTCCTAGAGAAGACAGAGAGGTGAGGGTCCAATAGGCAGCTGGACCTGATGTCATTTCAACTCACTCTTTGGGCTTCACATCTTGCTCTCTTGTTCTTTCCATCAAGGGATACACAGTAGAGAAACTCCCTTAGTGCCTCCTCCACCTTGCCTAGGGTGGCTAAGGCTTGGGCTTTTCTGAAATGTGCCTGGAAGGAAACATTAGCATTCAATCCCATTTTATTCAGCCTATTAACACTACTGCTCTAACAATAACTAACCCAGAGCACTCTCTGTTGTGTAAAACATTTTAAAAGGACTCTCTTATCTACAGCCCTAAAATGTAGGCAACTGTTCTAATGCCATTATAAAGAAGACAAAACTGAAACCCAAAAACGTTAACTTGCCCAATGTAACACAGCTGGTAAATTGTGGAATCAGGGTTTGAACCTGGGACTGACTGATACCAAAGCCTGTATTCTTAACCACTCTGCCACACTACCTTGTCTGTGCCCCATCACTGTACGGAGTGACCATCAAATGTAGCAAGAACCCCTATTTGACCACATGCTAACCAGCCTTCAGGGCCTGCCCAGCTATGCCTTCATTTGAACTAGTCTCTCAAGTAAAGAACTAGTCCTCAGTAGTGGCTTGAAAGAGCACCTAAACTAACTGATCAATTTTCAGAAGAAGCCCGGGAGAAGGGATCTGACCTACCCAAGACCTCAAAGGTAGCTAATGGCAAAGCTGGAACTAGAACTGCAGTCTCAGGACTCCCAGGATGCTCTTCTCCACAAAGCAGACTGCCCTTCAGAGGGCTAACCAGGGGGCTGAGCAGATGCTTACTCTCCTAGGGGCTTGGATCACTGCTGCTCCCTCACCACATACTTTAAAAAGTATGAAGAAGTTTATGGTTCCTCAGGGCCCAAGCCCAACTGCTCTGGGAAAGACACTCTAGGGAGAGCAGAGAAACATCCTGGGAAAGGAGGAAGAAAAAATAGTAGTGGCGGGGGGGAGGGCTGCCCTCTGTGTGTGTCTTGAGACAGGTGGACACTAGCAACTTGGCTTGAAGAGCATTTCACTTGAGTCATCTAGGACGTCCCTCCACCCAGTGGCCTGCTCCCTTGCCTCCTCCATTGGCAGCACTAAGCCTAACTTAGTGAATGAAGTGATCCAGGTTGTGGCTGCTGGATACTCCCCTGCCTTCCTTTCTAACATGCCTCTTTGCAGGCAGGCCCCAGAGCCCTCAGGCTATGGCCTGGCTGCAGGGGCTGCCCTGAAGCTGCCTTCTTGAGCAGTGGCCCCTGCTCCAAACCTCTCAAGGACCTTTCTGCATTCCCCCAGCTCCTTCTGAAGCCTTGTCTTGGCTGATACATGGATGTTGATGGCCTCCCTTGTTGCTTCTCCCAGCAGTGTTTACCAAGGGCCTTTGGGAAGGGCTTGCATGACATCACAGGGCAGCTAGAGGGGAGAAGTGTTGGGAGACTGGAAAGGCCTCTGTGTGATCCCACTAATCATAACTAATCATATCAAGTAGCAATCCATATACTCTTTTTTTTTTTTTTTTTTTTTTTGAGACAGAATCTTGCTCTGTCGCCCAGGCTGGAGTGCAGTGGTGGATCTCGGCTCACTACAACCTCCGCCTCCTGGGTTCAAGCGATTCTCCTGCCTCAGCCTCCTGAGTAGCTGGGACTACATGCACCATGCCCGGCTAATTTTTGTATTTTTAGTAGAGATGGGGTTTTACCATGTTGGCCAGGCTGGTCTCAAACTCCTAACCTCAAGTTATCCACCTGCCTCAGCCTCCCAAAGTGCTGGGATTAGAGGCGTGAGCCACCGCGCCTGGCCAACCCATAAACTCTACCTGCTCAGGGCAACCAGCTCACACCGCTGAGAGCTGTATCACCTGCAGGATGTGCAGAGTACCACACACTCTGTCTGGATGGCTGGAATAGAGAATAGGGCTGCCAGATTAAACCCCTACACTTGGGGCATTTTACACAGAAATGTTGGGAAATATGCAAATCAGGGTGGAAGGTGGTTTTGAATTATATGCATGACTTCCAGTCTTCTCTTAACCCCCAAGACAATAAATTATCTCATCACTGCCCCCACCTATCACTTCATCACTATGGGGAAATAAAACTCCTATTTAATACTTTCATCAACTCTTCCTTCACTGGGGAAGTCACTTTTCCCATTTCACACCCAAAATGCTTCATTGCTTCTCAGTTCTGCTTCTCGCCACACTATCAAGGTTCTTAGCTGTAAGATCTAGGCTTAGGGTGGAGGTGGAAAGAGCTGCAAGTCCTCTTACTCCTAGGCAGCTCCCTGACTTGCAGTACTGGGAGGCCGAAAGTGCCCCCACTAAAGCTGCTTTGAGTTAAGACACTGGCGCCTTGTATTAAACACTAAATGTGTTCCTTGGGGAAAAAAAACATACTAATTCATCATCACTCATGAAAACCTTCCCAGAAAAGAACATACAATATTCATCTGACATTCATGGCAGAGTACACAGGTCCACATGCTTTATCTGGGTTCCAGATCCAAAAAAGTTCTGATAATCCATTGTTTTCATAAACTCGACATCAAAATTCATTAGATGGCAAAACCTGACCTCAACTGATATAAAGTGTTTAAAAATATTTAGCCCACTGAGTGTGAATTTTCACAGAATCTGCTGGATAGCGTGTTTAATTACAGGAAGCTATCCAGAGATCACTGAGACCTAATATATGGTCCTTGCAAAATATAAAACATTCTGGATTCTGAACACTTCTGATCTTATAAGATTCAGATAAGGGATCATGGACTTGAACTTGGATACATTGGTTTTCTGAGGAAGGCATCCTTGGGTTGTGTAGAGAGAGAGCATTACACCCAGCAAGCTTTATAGCTTGCAGAATGTCCTCTTGGCCACGTTCACTTTTGACCCTCACTGCATCATTGCGAGGCAGTCAGGGCAGATATCAATAGCTTCATTTTGCAAACAAGCATACTTGGGGTTCAGAGAGTGAAGTCACCTCCCCATGGTTTCCAAGTAGTAGAGCACAGGCTCAAATCTAATCTTCTAAACAAAGTACTGACATGTGGCTGAGGGCCAGTCCTGAAGCCAGGCAAAGATACGGAAAGTGACACTTTGCATCCTGGCATCCTGAGAGGTGTCCAGGCTGTTTTTCTTCTCACCCCCCATCTGACCTAAATCCTTGGGGACACTGGCAGGCTGACTGACTATATTAAGGACTTGAAATGGCACAACCATTGTGTGAGTGTGAGGATCCCTTCAGAGAAAACTGGTTAAGCTGCCAAGGAGCCTGGCTATCAGTAGAGGTTCAGGAGCACCAGGCCAGCAACACCACTCTCACCTTCCTCTTTCTAATGTCCCTGGAAAATGATGATAATGATGGCGATAGAAAACATTTATGTAGGCCGGACACGGTGGCTCACGCCTGTAATCCCAGCACTTTGGGAGACTGAGGCAGGTGGATTGCTTGAGGCCAGGAGTTTGAGACCAGCCAACATGGCAAAACCCCGTCTCTACTAAAAATACAAAAATTAGCCGGGCATGGCGACACACGCCTATGATCCCAGCTACTCGGGAGGCTGAGGTGGGAGACTCACTTGAACCTGGGAGATGGAGGTTGCAGTGAGCCGAGATCACGCCACTGCACTCCAG